AGAGTTGGCCCAACGCTGGTACGATTGCTCCATGCTCGGCTCAGGAGAGCGGCAGACTGAAAAACGAGCGCGCGAGCCAGGATCACGGTCTGCTGAACGGGGTACTTCAAACAGGTGTTTCGCTGCTGGTAGCGTTCTGCGTGGGAGACGCAGCCTCCTGTGGACTTCGATCGCACTTCAACAGAAGGCAAGAGCAGGGGAACACAGACACCTAATCAGGCAGCCAGGGACCCTGCGCACATCCAAGTCGGGCCATTGCAGCACACCGTCCCTCCGAGAGCTGACTCGCGACGAGGTCGATGAAGAACTGCGAACGATCCTTCACACATGGTCAAACAATTTTGGCAGAGATCGAAAGCAATGGTTTTACTAGAAACACCGAGATACTAGCTGGCATGCGACTCAGGATTATAATCGCGATAGGTAGCTGCACGCGTTCGTCCAAGCAATTTCAAACGTCGCCTGGTCGAGTGAGACGCATCCAAAGCCCATGAAGAGAGAGAGTGAACGCCGATTCCATAGTTAACGGAGCCGCCGAAGTTACGCAGCGGCTCCCGTCGCAAACTGGCGAAGGCCCGAGGGAGGGGAGAATGAGGCACGACACGGGTGACGCGCACGACGCGCGTACGCCCAAGCGGATCCGAGCTCCACTCAGGCCGACGTTGGACGCGCCTTGACGGTGCAGCCGTCCGGCGCCAAACGCCTTGAAAATACAGCAGGAGCCCGATCACAAGAAACCTTCCACAAGAAACCCAACCCTGAGACCCCAGGACGTCCATTGATTTCTAGCGTGGGCAAGTCGCGCCTTCCACAGTAAAACCATCGAAACCCAAGAAACCCAGGGCACCCTGGAGGCAAGCAAGGTGTTTCTTGGCGTGGGCCCCCGCTGCACCTGCGAACGCCGCCCCTGTCCTCCTCAACAAGGGGCACTCGCCAATCGCGGAGTCGTCGCCGCGCGCGCCCAAGAGCGGCCGACGACGTTGGGATCTCCTGCCGTCTCAAGCCGCCCTCCAGACCAACATCCTCCTCCTCGGTACCCATCCAAGACCGCCCGCCAGTGCCTCGCCGCGCCTCGCACAACCTGCCCCGTGCAACGGCAAGGAAATCCGCGATTGAATCGCAACTAATTCTGCCTGCTGGGTGTGAAACTTGGCCGTCTGCGTTTGCCGCAGGATCGTCTCGGAAGAGCACGAGTGCACACCCTGTTTGCCCCTCGCTGGCGCTCTGGCATGTTACTCGGTTATTCAAAATTGCGTCTCCTGAGACGGGGCCGTGCTGGACAACCACGGAGCTTAAACGATGTACGGTCAGAATTATGCTTCGAGCCCGCATGAACGCGGGAAAGCGACCGCATTACTTCGCAAAAGAGGCGTGAATTAATGCCGCAGAGCTCTTTGACGAGGACAGCACACAGACAATAATGCGTGCGACCTGAGTGAAAATTAAGCTTGAAAATCACCTGGAGCACAGGAGAGCGGAAACCGCCATAAAACATCATCATCACCAATCATCGACACTGGATTGCTTATCCCACGCTCGGATGGAAATCTGCTTTCTCATCTTCCCCATCATGGCTTGTTCCGCCCTCGACCCCCCTCGATACATTAGTGCTCAACCACTGCATCAACTTGAAACACATTCAAGATGTCGGAAAATACCATCTCCCAACATATGAGCCACAACTGCGGTGACTGACTCGACACTTGCTGTGGCCGAGCCTTCCAGAAAGGATTGGCTGGCGATTCCAGGCACGCGTGCCTCCCACACCCGCAACACCCAAACACATCACTCCTCGCTGTCCCTCGTCCTCCTCGAAGTCCGGCCTCGCGGCAGACGCGCTGGCCCAGGGGCCACTCCTGCGGCCTGCGCCTCCGGTCCGGAGGCTCGCTTCAGGCCCCGAGGATGGCCTCGTGCCAGAGGATCCCCGAGATCTTCGTCGTGCTCGGCTCCGCCCGGGGGTTGCACGCTATCCGGGCGGCCGTGTTGAGCAGGTCCACCCAGAGGCGGGCCGCGGCGATCTCTTCCCAGAGGTCGCCCGCCCCGGCTCGGAAGGCTGCCAGCGAGCGCAGCGTGGTGCGGTCCGCACACCGAAACGTGTGCTGGAAGCCAGCGCCGCCCTCCGGCGAAGCGAAGACGCGGCCGACCTCGATGCTCTCGAGCGGCTGACTCGGCGCCTCCCTCCTGTGGGCCTCGCTCCTGTAGACGTGTAGGGCGGCTGGCTCGAGCACACACCACCGCCAGCACCAACAAAATCCCAATACACGCCGCTGCAGAGGGCCACAGAGAATCACCTGCCCAGACCCAGCGGCCTCCGCGGCCGTGCGCACGCGAGGAGGCGCCGCTGCCTCGCAGGGGCTCCGGTACATTCGTCGCCGCCAAGACTGGGGACCACCCTGCCTGCAGCTCGGCTGCACCCAGCCTGGCGCAGCGCCAGTCCTGGCCACTATCGCCGGGGCCTCGAGAGGCACGTTCTCCTTCGGGGCACCTGCCTCTGGAGACGCCAGATCCCACCAACGTTCGCTGAGCCAGGTCTGCGGGGTGCCCACGGACGTGCTACCTGCACGGACCCAAACCGGCCGCTCGAAATTCGGGCCGCCCTGGCTGCTGCGGGTGTCGCACTCCCAGAGGTGGCGGGCCTGACCGTCATCTCTCTTGAGGAGGTCCTCTTTGGTTGGCCCAAAAGGGGGCCCAGCTGAAAGGGGGCAGTGCAATAGATTTGGAGATTTTGTATTGCAGATGTATTGCGCCGGAGAGATGTATTGCATTGTATTGCAGCTGATGTATTCCGCGCGATAACCCAGCAATGCATTCGCGCCCCAGATATGTATTGTACGCCCCGAATATATCGCAACCCGCGAAACTGTTGCACCAGATCTATTGCACCAGCCCCTTGTAGCTAGACCCCTTTTGTCGGCGGTGGACAGACCTCCCTTTAGTAAACCTCCCCTTCATGAAAACGGCCTGGGACCGAAACCGACGGACCTGGACCCGCAAAAAGAACGGCCGTGACGCCCTCTCGCGAACCGAAAACGGCCAATTCACCAATCGACGTGTCAGGGTAGGAGGTTCACCAACCTCCGATTTGGGGTCAACCAGATCCTCGCTGGGAGGATGCACGCGACCACAGCCCGTAGATGACCTGTCTGTCCGTGACTGCGCCATCGCGGCCCCGCCTCCGCACCGCGGCCTCCTGGGGGGCCCGCGGCGAGCGGCCACCGCCCCGGCCGCCGCGGACCACCGCGAGAGGCGTGGCCGGGCGCCGCGCTGTCGGCTGGGGTACCTCGCCGACGGCCCGCGGGCCCGCGGCCTGGCGCAGGCCCTTGGGCCAAAGTGGTAGAGAAAGGGGGAGAGCCCAACCATCCCCCACAAACCGACGGAACATCGAGGAGCTTTGCCCCTCGGGGCCCTCTTGGGAGTGCTCTGGGAGGCCTCTTGGGACGTTCTGGAGCGATCTTTGGGGGTACGACCCCGAATTCACAAACCTCCTTGGGCTTGCTGCGTGCCCCATGGGCCTTGGACCGCCTTCTTTCTCGCGTGACTTTCGGGCCCAAAAGGGCCCCAAGACGGGCCAAGAGGGCCCCAAGAGGCCCCCAAGACGATCCAAGAGGGCCCAGGGTCGCCGAACGATCGCTCCAAGACGCCCAAGATGGCCCCAAGACGGCCCAAAAGGCCTCGAAGACACCCCAAGACGCCTCCAAGAGGCCTCCCCAGAGGGTCCCAATAATCAGAAATCATTGGTTCTCGTGTTTTTTGTGTTATATATATATATATATATATATATGTATTGACGTTCTCGCCTATTCGATTTCCCGGCGCTTCCAGACGGCCCTAGACGCCCCAAGATCGCACCAAGACGGCCCAAGAGGGTCCCAAAACGGCCCAAGACTCAAGACGACCCAAGAGGGGCCCAACGACGGCTCCAAGGGGGGGCCCAGATGGGGAACCCGAACGGACATTTGGGAGGCCCCAAGAAGCCCCCAAGAGGCCTCCCAGAGCACTCCCAAGAGGCCCCCAAGAGACAAACAAGAGGCCCCAAAACTGCCCTCACGAGGCCCCCGAGAGCACTCCGAAGAGGCCCCAATAAGCATCCCTGAGAACTCTAACCCACAACACAGGCACGGTGGCGGGATGGGTCGAAGGCCAAAACGACACAGGCATATCTGTATTTCGACCTTCAAGTATTCCCCAATCGGTGCTTTCACTTAGGGGCTGCTGCCTCTGTTGTGGGGAACTTGCTGCCTCCCTCCCTGCCCCTCCTCTGCCCTCCTGCCCTCTCCCCTCCCTCCCTCCACAATTACTCAATATGTATACTACTCTCCCTCTTCCCCTGATGACGGTTTGAAAATATTAGCCCCCCACCCCGCGTACTATTTTTTACACACAAGATTCCCCAGAGTTGGGTTTTCGCCTGCATTTTTTCCCAAAATGCTGCTCTCGCTGAGGCGCCGGCCTCATTTTCGGGCCCCGCTCGTTCCGAATCGTGCTCCCGCTGCAGCGCTGGCCTCATTTCCGTGCTTCCGCTCGTTCCGAATCGTGCTCCCGCTGCAGCGCTGGCCTCATTTCCGCGCTTCCGCTCGTTCCGACTCGTGCTCCCGCTGCAGCGCTGGCGTCATTTCCCGTGCCATGCCACGGCATGCAATGCAATGCTAGGTTGATGCTACGCTTTGCGGTGCTCTTCTACGCCATGCCATGCCGTGCTCTACAATGCATCGCGTACCCTTTCGGGATCATTGCCCTGCTCGACATCCGACTGTGCGAGTAGAGAGGGGATCTACGCCATGGTAAGGGATGGGAGGGAGGGGTAGGATGTCAAATATGACGCGAGCGCACCTAGCTTGTCTCCCCCCCTCCCTCCCTCCCTCCCTGCTCCTCCTCCCTTCCTCCTGCCCTCTCCCCTCCCTTCCTCCTGTCGTCTCCCCTCCCTCTCGCCCTCTCTCCCTCCTGCCCCTGCCCACGCCACTGTCCCGGACCTGCCGCTGCTCCCCGCCGCCCTCTCCCGCCGCCCGGTACGTGGCCGGCGGCTCCGGCAGCCGGAACACGCGACACCTCCGGCGGCCAGCAGGGGGAGGAAGGGACCCAGAAATCCGACGCTCCTTAAAAAATCGCAAAATGGCGGCGAGCGGGCGGTTTTGGGCCGTTGGCGGCCTCTGGGGGCCCTGGCCGGGCCTCGGGAGTGTAAAAAAAAGACTCGGGGCGAAAAACTGGCCCTAGGGAAGTGGTCAGGACCTCCGAGGCCCACGCATCGGAAACATTAGAGCAGCCGGATGTCTGGGGACGGGCCCCAGGGGGTGATGGTGAAGTTTCGGGTTTGGGGTTCGAGGCTTTCGTACGTTTTTCGGCAGTTATCGGCGGTTTTCCAGCCGCGGGATGCCTTCGCGCAGCTGCGCCATGCCGAGGGCGCTGCCGCCGGAGAGCCGAGTTATCACCCGAAAGCCGAAAGGGCAACGACAGGGTGGGGAGGAACGAAGAACGAGGAGGCACAACGGTTCATTTCCATTGAAGGAACTGCCTCGTTGGAAGACATCCGTTTGAAGATCCGGAAGCATGCCAAAACATTGTTCTCGGGATTTCAACGCCACGGATCAACCTGACTGCTGCGACTAAACGATCCGGAATCGTGCCAGAACGCAATGTTTGGGACTTCAACACCGCGAACCAACATAACTGTTGCACCCGCAAAGTCCTGAATCTTTCCAGAACGCCGTTTCTGGTACGATCATGGGAAGCCGTGGAATTCTTGCAAGTGTTTGAAACGATTGTTCGCGGCGCTAAAGCGAGAGCCGCATTTTGAAAAGGAACCGCCCTCAACCCATGAAACTCTTGCATTGAAAACGAATGTGCGCGGCGCAAAGGCGAGAACCACATTCTGAGAACGACCCGCCCTCAATCCGCGACATTCTTGCAACTGTTTGAAGAATGTGCGCAGCGCTACGGCGATAATCACATTTTGAAGAAGGAGCCACCCTCAATCCGTGAAGCTCTGGCAACTGTTTAAAACGAATGCGCGCGGCGCTAAAGCGAGAACCACATTTTGAGAACGACCCGCCCTCAATCCGAGAAGCTCTTGCACATGTTAAACCGAATGCGCGCGGCGCTAAGGCGAGAACCACAATTTGAAAACCACCTACCCTCAATCCGTGAAGCTCTTGCACATGTTTAAAGCAAAGTTTCGCGGCGCTAGAAAGCGAGAGCCAGAGTTTGAAAAGGAACCGCCCTCAATTGGTGAAACCGTTGTCACTTTGTAAGCTTCAGAATCATAAACGGTGAGGACGTCTCAGGCGAAACGCCTGGCCCGCCCTAAAAACTTGCCTCGGGGAGCGACAGGGAGAAATTATTTATGAGGAAAGGGAATGGAGGAGGAGAGGATGGGGGAAGGCGACAGAAGCAGGGGCAGGGATTGAGGAGGGGGAGGGGTCGAGGAGGAGGAGGAGGAGGAAGAAGGGTGGTCGAAGAGGGGGAGGAGTTGATGATGGGCAGGGAGGAGAGATGATGGTGATGATAATGATGGTGATGATGCTAATGATGATGATGATGATGATGATGATGATGATGAGGATGATGATGATGATGATGATGAGGATCAGGATAATGAATGATGATGATGATGATGTTGATGATGATGATGATGATGATGATGATGCTGATGCTGATGACGATGATACTGCTGTTCCATATGATGATGATTATGGTGACTATGATGATGCTGTTGCTGATGATGATGGTGGTGATGATGCTGATGATGCTGATGATGCTTATGACGATGACGATGACGACGATGATGATGATGCTGCTGATGATAGATATGTTCATGATGCTGCTGCTGCTGCTGCTGCTGCTGATGATGATGATGATGATGATGATGACGAGGCTGATGCTGCTGCTGCTGCTGCTGATGCTGCTAATGATGATGTTGATGCTGATGATTATGCCGAGGAGGAGGAGGAGGAGGAGGAGGAGGAGGAAGATGGGGGCTGTACCCAGCGTGAGTACGTAACCATATGCTCACGCCAACCACAAATCTTCACGCCACGTATCACCAAATGTTGCAAAGACCGCCGACATGCAATCCGGCACGTGCGTTGCTCGAGGACTCTGCACCTCAGATTCGGGTCGGGCGACAGGGGGGGATAGCAAAGGGGGGGTTTCAGAATCAGCTCACGTAGCTGATTTTCCCGGCGCCTCCCGGCGCCGGAGGCGGCTATGTATCGAGGAATGGGCCCCTCGGTGAGGCCGAAACCAGCTGCATGCAGCAAATTTCGTGCCCCCCCCTTCCCAATCCCCCCTTTCGTCCGGCCCGACAGATACAGGCCGAATCTTTTGCTCAGCGTGTCGGTGGCGGCCCCAAAAAGACACGCTGTGCCCCGCGAGCGGATACAATGTCGCTCCGCTCCGCGTGGCGGGAGGCTCAGAAAAAGGCTCGGGACGTTGAGGCCTGGGCAGTGGGAACTCCTCCCTTCTCCTCCCTTCTCCTCCCTTCTCCTCCTCCTCCTCCTCCTCCTCCTCCTCCTCCTCCTCCTCCTCCTCCTCCCCCTCCTCCTCCTCCTCCTCCTCCTCCTCCTCCTCCTCAGAAAAAGGCTCGGGACGTTGAGGCCTGGGCAGTGGAAAATGGACAACGTGTCGCGCCGAAGCGCGGTGGGCCCCAACCGGCCGAGCGACACGCGATCCAAAGGTTCCCGACCGTATGTGTTGAGAGCTATTCTCAATCCAATCAATGTTGCGACAATGCAGACTCACCATGCAGCCAGAAGTCCGCGGCCCGAAGGTGTCATGCGCTTTGCACGCTTGGTGCAGTTTTCATTCCAGCCTGGATGCCTTGAGGAACAAAGCGCTGCAGACATTTAATTTCCGGAGACGTACCCAAACCCTTCTTCACGCAGGGCGACTACTAAAAGGAGTGTTCTTTACAAGCGAACATATTGAACGATAAACTGCGCTCTTGCGCACGAAGGTACCGACAAACGTGCAGTTGGCTGCCTCACTGGGAAGCGCGAGGTCCCGTCCAGGTGCGCGTGCCCCTGGACTCCGCTGGACCCCCCAGGAGCCCACGAAAATGGTCACAATTGGGCAACTCGCAGCCACCCAGGGAGCAGCGAGGTCCCGTCTGGGTCCGCGTGGCCCCCGACTCCGCTGGACCTCCCAGGAACCCACGAATGCGGCGACAGTTGCGCAGTTCACGGCAACCCAGGGAGTAGCGAGGTCCTGCCTGGGTCCGCGTGGCCTCAGACTCTGCTGGACCTCCCAGGCACCAACGAAAATGACGACAAGTGCGCGGTTAGCAACCGCCCAAGGAGCAGCGAGGTCCTGTCTGGGTCCGTGTGGCCCTCGACTCCGCTGGACCTCCCAGGAACCTACGAAAACGGCGACAATTGCACAATTCACGACAATCCACGGAGCAGCGATGTCACGTCTGGGTCCGCGTGGCCCCCGACACCGCTGGACCTCCCATGAGCCCACGAAAACGGCGACAATTGCGCAGTTCACAGCCGTTCACGGAGCAGCGCAGGAGGATGCAGGAGGAGGAGGAGGAGGAGGAGGAGGAGGAAGAGGAGGAGGAGGAGGAGGAGGAGGAGGAGGAAGCAAGCTGGACTTCACGCAGGAACGTTCCGACGCACCTGCAGCGGGAGTTGACGGACGCCGTCATGTTCGTGACGCGGGCGGACCCCCTCCACCAGCTTGCAGAAGAGGTGCACAGGGGCCGGCTGCGCCAGGGCGGCGGCCCGGGAGCGGGCAGCTTCCTTTGTGTACCCCTGAAGGGAGTGCACGCGAAGGCCGACGGGGCGTGGCGCATGGCTCGCGCAAGAGCCTTCTTTGCACCGCAGACCAAATCATTTCTCCTGTGACAGCGGAGACGCACTGTCAGCACACCGGGCGACGGGGTGCATGCGGGGCGCTGCTGGGAGGGATCGCTGGCCTCGTGCACGCGGAAGGCTGTAAGGTGGGCGGCGGAGTTGTTTCAGGCCACAATAAGGTGCGGGACATCCTTTTGCGCTTCGCCGCGAAGTACGTTGACCCCAGGGCGCTCAAGGAACAGCGTCTGGAGAGCCTGCGGGCGGGCATGCTCGACGTGGTTTTCAATCACGATGGCAGACGAGTGGCTTTGGGCATCGCCATTGTGGGCGCCCACCTGAACCCCGCCAGGGTGCGCACTGCCGCCGGCCGAGATGGAGCCGCGGCGGCCCAGGAGGAACGCGAGAAACGCCGCTTGTACGCTGGGCTCAACGTGACGCCGTGTGTGTTTGGGATCGGCGGCCGAGCAAGCGAGAGCGCCTTAGCCACCATCCGCATGCTCGCGGCCATGTCCAGCGGCGATGCCGAAGCACCTGTTCTGGCCGCTACCCTATGGCAGGAAATTCGCATTGCGCTGCCTTCTGCCGCTGCGTGGCGAGCAGCCAGCGCCTTCGCGCGGCCAGACTCCATGGCCCTGGCGGGCAGCCGGCAGAGAGGGCGCCGAGAGCGACGACGAACCTGCAGCAGCAAGAGGCGCTCTGGTTCCCTGACGCGGGCCCTGCCCCCGCCGGTGCTGCAGCGCTGCGCCGGCGCCACGCGGGCGGCGCCCGCTGGCCAGCCGCCCCGCGCGCCCGCCCTGGAGGAAGGCGCCGGCGGCCGCGCCGACCATGCCGCAGCGCGCCAGGCGCAGGGACCAGCGAGCTCGGCGACTGCGCGGATCTGGTCGGGCGCGTGTGCGCTCGCGCTGGGCCGGGCTGGCGCGAGCGGCAGCGGTGCGCGGTCGCGGTCGCCACTGGGTGCTGGGGGGCGGCTGGCGCAGCTGGGCAACCGGCCGTCGCGGCCGTCCGCGCCATCCTGGACGTCGCCGACCCGGTCCCAGGTATGCGAGATATAGGCCCTGGCCGGCGCACCCCTTACTCCTTGTTGGTGCATCGCCCCTGAGCGGTGGGTCGCTTCTGCGGTGGGGGGGTTGCGCCGGCTCCCGACTAAAGTGCGTCGGCGGCAAAGGGACCCGCGTGGCGCGGAGGAGGAGGAGGAGGAGGAGGAGAAGGAGGAGGAGGAGGAGGAGGAAGGGAGGAGCAGGAGGATCAGGGAGGAGG